ATATATCTCTGTGTTACTCGACATACTCATGTATAAGCACACGAGGGCCATATCAGATTATATACTGGGGATCTAGCTCTAATTTTTATTTTTAGAATTTGATATTTTAGGTTTTTGATAAAATTTATTATATATATAAATTTTTTTAAAGAAATCTATTATGTTTTCATAGTCTAATAAAATTTATTTCCAAACTTAAAATTTTATAATACTTATTTATCGGAACAAAAATCCAGATTATATAAATCAATAGTATTAATATTTATAAAGAAGTCATAACAAAATTTAATTATTTTAGATTTAATTATGAAATATAGAAATATCTGAGCTCATTCTAGCGTGATGTAAAAGAAATCTATTATGTTTTCATAGTCTAATAAAATTTATTTCCAAACTTAAAATTTTATAATACTTATTTATCGGAACAAAAATCCAGATTATATAAATCAATAGTATTAATATTTATAAAGAAGTCATAACAAAATTTAATTATTTTAGATTTAATTATGAAATATAGAAATATCTGAGCTCATTCTAGCGTGATGTAGAAGTACAAAACGTATGTCTATGTGATGTGCGTGGATGTGTCATAATCTTGTACGCGTTTCCATAAACAAAGAAATAAAAACTTAAAATAATGTAAATAAAAAATATAAATTTTAGTTAGAAAACCGATGATATCATTAAATAAAAATGGTGTGCGTATATATATTTATATATTAAAATTTGTGCTAATCCTATAAGAAATAAAAATTCTCCAATTTCAATAAAAGTAATATTAGAAAACTTTGTAAACTGTTTTAAGGTTGTTTGGATTATTAGAGGAGTGAGTGGGATCGTTTGTACCTAAAGCCATCGAGACAAATGTTAATTTAATACAATCAAACAATAAAACAATTTTTGTAGTGATTTTCAAATGGATGCTTCTTTTAAATTTCCTTGTCTGAACTTTGAAGACAAAAGACCAAAACAATGCACAACATATACATGAAAAATCAACTGTAATGATCAACGGTGATAACTAATCAGATTAAATATATGCGTTGTCCGCTGTAATCTTTTGAAGAACAGCTATATATTACTAAATATAATTAATTGAACAAAATCATAAATTAAACTTAAAAAAAAAAGAAGATATAAAAGAGCAGAGTTTGGATATGCATGTGCACAAACATCCGCATTACGGGAATGGTATAAGTATTAAAGAAGAAAGTGAGATTTTTGATACTTTGACAGAGATGTGAAGTCATTGGGCATATATGCTCTCTGTTGGGTTGTATTATGCCCTGTTTTTTTCCTTCTTCTCCCCAATAAGGCCTTGGATTCTAAAGCAAATTCGCCGCCCAATGGACAAAAGAAGCCTTTCTATATTTAATTTTGGTCCGACATGCGTAATCATATATATATCTATATATATATATCACAGCTCACCCAATATTCCTTCCTCTATATACGTTAGGATTTAGGAAATTTGGATTTTATATTTTTTTTACTAATTGTATTCACGTTCCTATCTCAAAAGTATGCCACATCATAAATTAATAATGTAACATATATATTGTTAAGAGTGATTAGAAATCAATATCCATGTGAAGTAATTCCTATCAAGGGAATATCAATTTTTTTTTTTCACATCCAGTTTCTTTTTCTCTTTTCCACACATCCCATTAACTTTAATTACTACTAGTCTTTATATAAATATCCATTTTTTCACATAAATGGTCTTGTAGCCCCATTCCTCTACACCCGCACACATTCTTGGCGAATTACTAATCCAAGAACAAAAGAAGAAAAGGGAGAAGAGAATGGTGAGGGTAGGGGGTATTCTTGTTTGTCTTGTGATCGTGGGCTTAGACATAGCTGCGGCTATCCTTGGCATCCAAGCAGAAGTTGCCCAAAACCAGGTATCTTACACACATATACTAAATGTGAAAACGTGATTAATGGTGTGGGAAAAATGTGGGTTTTGACGATGATATATGATGACGACGAGGGAACAGGTGAAGCATATGAGGCTATGGCTGTTCGAGTGTAGAGAGCCAAGCGAAGATGCGTTCAGGTTAGGGTTAGCGGCGGCGGCAGTGTTGGCTCTGGCTCACGTTCTCACCAACTTGATCGGTGGATGCATGTGCATCTGCTCCCAGGATGAGTTCGAGAGAGCTTCTTCCACCAGACAAATCTCCATGGCCTGTCTTGTCCTCTCCTGGTATCATATTGACAAATCTTCACAAAACTGTATATTATTTATATTTTTGTTTTAATCTCTATGTTTACGGGATGGAATGTGAATGTGAATGTGGGTTGGGTTCGTGAATAGGATAATATTCGCGGTCGGATTCGGGGCTCTGGTGATAGGGACAATGTCGAACAGCAAGTCAAGAGCCTCCTGCGGATTCACACATCATCACCTGTTGTCCATCGGAGGAATCCTGTGTTTCGTCCATGCCCTCTTCTGCGTCGCTTATTACGTCTCTGCCACTGCCGCCTCCGACGAACGGCACAAGTGAATCTGCTGCCGTCGGTTCTTCCCCCTTCTTCACTCTTCTACCTAATCGTTTTCATGTTAATCCAAGATTATTTCTTTTCCTTTTTCTTTGTTTTTTTAAATATCTCTCGCTCCAAAGTTTCTTTTGTAATTTGAAAAGTCGCGTCCTTTTGAAAAAAATGAAATCTTTATGTCGTGACATGTGGGTCTGATGATGATGTTTGATAGATATACTCTTGTCTTTTAGCAAATGTGGTGGTAAAACACAGATATCGAAGGTTTTTACTTTTTAGTTTCAGACAATAAATATCGAATTCCCAGGTCCCCTTGTCCTGAAAATTTCTCAAATCATGAATTTGAAAGAAAAAAAAATCTGTGGTCCAACAAGCTCCTCCCGAAACTAGGAAACTTGTCTGTCAATTCCTGAAAAAAGCAAAAGCAAAATAACAGCGTGTAATTAGGAAAAGGGCATGGAGTAGGAGTCTAGTGGATCATCATCATCATGGTTGCTACATATGGATGGATGGATGGAACAATATATGAGGTCCATTTACAATATTTACATAGATTTCATTCCAAGATTACAACTCTGCAATGTTTTTGGCATCTTGGGTATGCTATTAGAGTCTTGTCTCTAGGGCTTGTTCTTCAAGAACATAGATCGCATTTTGCTGCTCAGAAGTGAGAGTACACTCTCAAAGGGTCTAATGCCCATGTCTGTTTCTTCGTCCCATGGAAATGGTGCAACCCTTTCGGTTGCTTCCAGAATCTTCTCCATCGAAATTTCCTGTCTTGATCGCTCCAAGGCGCCTACTTTGTGATTGTACATTTCAGGATCTGGACAGTACTCCTGAAGAAGATACAGTAAATATCATAACAAATGTTGTTGGATAAGTTTCAGACACTGGAAATGGTGCAACCGGTTCAGATTCAGCGATGGAAGTAGTTAATTCACCAAAAGTCTGAATCTTTCGTAGCATTCTCATGTGGTTTGGTTTTTCTGATGTTAAAGTCACTTACTTGATTAGCATGCATCCGCCTCACAAACGTCTCAAACGTTACGAAATTCGGTTCTCTCAGAAGTTTGTCAGATAATCTGAGGTATGTGAATCCAAACATCCTCCGAATTGGCCGGTCACCACTCAGGTTAATACCGTTAGGCCTCGCATTTAGTAGGATCTGGTTATACCCGTCTCTGTCATATCTCGAAAGCGCGTTTTCACCCGCAACTTGGACGTTTTCTCTCCAGCCACAGCTCATAACCTGCAAACTATCCTCTGTAATATCTAATTGATAGCAAGTTCTAATTCAGATGTCACGAGTAGAAATTACCGATGATTTTATTACCTGCTGAA